AACCAATCAGAGCCCATCGTGTATTTCTGAGGGAGGGGCTTCATAAAAGCAGGAAATGATCAGCGCGTTCAGAGGAGAAGGGACAGAGAGGTGTGGAATAAAGGTAAATTATGTGAAAAATAATGCGTTTTTTTTTAACAAACGAAGCATTAACACATGTTAGACTGCACCCCATAAACACAATCAAGCCTATAAAAAAAACAGTCAACCACCCCTTTAATATTATGTGCCAACTGTATAGTTTACAGCATTAGTTGAGAGATTGTTTTACTTAAGAAACATGGATGTACTGTAGCTGATATCCAACAAATCAATAACAAAATTGGAATTGAATCGAGCGTTTGTGAACCGGAATCAAATTGTGAAATCTGTTTTAATACCCAGCCTTAATTCGAAAATTTTTTAGCATTACCAATGTATATAGTTTAATTTAGAAATATTCTCTAGAATAGAATAAAAAAAATAAAAATGAAGGACTGAGAGCAACTGTATAATTTGTGATGGCAGAAATGTAGTTATATATAGACAGCGGGATAAACAATATATTTGCGTAGCTATCAGTGGGGAGGACTGCTTTAGCTACATATGGGAGCAAAAACGTATCATTTGTAACAACAATTCAACTTCTTCATTAATGAGTGTTCAATGACACATCTGCTCTTTTATCATGAACCTGAATGTGGCTTTTCCAATTACAATTTAGAGTTTGAACATATAATATTAGTTATACTGTTCTGAGTCTTTTGTTTTTAACTCGGGTGTTGCAAAATGTGAAGCGGTTTTGGGACTGAAGGCAGAGAACTGTTCATATTGTTTCGGTTCATATCCAAGTTTCAAATAAAAAAGAAAATAGTCAATGGGGAAGGAGTACCTTTTCTGTTATGAAATATCTAAATCACTGTCATGAAAAAAAAAAAAATTACAGTGCAACACCTGGAAAATCTTCTGCAGCTCAGGAACTTTGTTGATTCCCATGTAGTGTGCCACTGAGCCGGTCTCTGAAACAACCTTGGTCGGTACAGCAAAGATCATGGCAGGAGCTTGAGAGGGAACTGTGGCCTTCAGCCCCTGTCAGGACAAACACAATGACGGATGAGCTGCAGACATTACGGCACCAAAAAATGACTATTGCCATTATTTACTCATCTTAACATCAGTCCAAACCCCTATGCTGGCATTTTCTTCCACTAAACACAAAAGGACAAATTTACACAGCTCTACTCCCCACAAAGGTCACTCACAGTGAACCATATCTCAAGGTCTGAAAAGGACCCAAAAATCACCATATAGTCTACAAAACTGGATACACTAATATCAGACAATTAATCATCCATCATGACTATCTAACACTCTTATAGTGTTGTATCCTCTTTGGAGCTTTATAGATAATCTCAATATGAATTGTAGCAGCGTAAAGAGCTGCATGAGGATTGTTCAAAATGTTTCCTTGCCTGTTTGATAGAAGAATAAGAGCATATAAGAAAACAATGAAAGGCAGCTGTTCTTTGATCCAAGTTATGGACTGAATAGACAAGGTCAGGTAAACATATCTTAACCTCTTAACCTTAGAAAGCAATGGGAAGAAACGGAGCTTTGAACTCTACAGCTGTCCTTGACATTAAACAAATAGACCTTAACTTTTTAATGATTTGGTATAAATTCTGTTCATGCTAAAACAGTTATGTTTCCTTTCAACAGCTGGCTTCCAGGACCTCAGAGGAATTGTGTTTTAAGGAGCTATAAAATCCTGCGGAGGCCATATTGCAGCTCTAACGTCGGTCTTTAATCACTCGGATTCATTATTAATGACAAACGTTTACTACATTACTTAAGACAAGGCAGACAACAAACCAAGGGTGGTTGTGAGTGTTTATAATATCAGCACAATATAAAGCCAGACTTGCGCAGTGACTGAGTGTCTGTGAAGCGCTTCCTGTGAAGGTCACTCCAGACTTCTCGCTTCTCACCGAACAACAGCGGAAGGTTTGAGTACCTGCGGGCTGTAAGCGGACGCTGCTGTGGCTCCCGTTAATTTCCCAGTGACTCCGCTGACCTTATAATACATTTTCGTTGACAATACTGTGAACCACACCACAGACAAGATCGCGTCCCACCACCTGCACTCTGTGCCTGAGAGTGAGAGGACCCCGTCGGAAATTACGTCACTTAGCAGCCCGATTCTTGCCCGATTAAAAAAGCATCAACCCTCCCTGCCTCTGTTCCATAGACTGTGCTCTGTTCAGACAAAAACTGTTATTAAATTGTGAATAAGATAATTTATATTACAGGTCAAAAGTCTGTGGCCAGTAAATTGTAATATTTCCTAGCAATAATACTGTTTTACTGAACAAAAAATAAAATAAAATAAAATAAAATAAAATAAAATAAGATTATTAAAATAAATAATCATACAGACCCGTGTTCAGTTTAATATGTAAAGGAATTAGCATTTTTGCTACCTTCAGAAATTTAAACTTTTTTTTATTCTATTTAATTTTTTTCTCCTCTTGTTTGGGATTTATGACTATAATAAGGTCTGATTAACATTATTCAGAAACACAAATGAGACTTTTTAATATGATTGAGATTTTTTTGTCTTCTCTTAATATGGCTGTTCATAAAAATAAAATGTAAAAAATGTCAAGTTTACATAGCATATGGAGTTTTTTGCGTTTATTTGGAAGAGCTACAAAAAATAAAAACTCAAAACAGTAATTCATTTTGTACTATTTATTAATATCCACTTTTCAAGAATTTTGTCAAGACCTGCTTTAGCTAACACAGAGGCATTCTAGTTTATTCAAAATAGACTTTCTATTTACAAAATACATTGGAAGCTTACAGTACTAGTGAATGCAGAAAACTAAGAAACATAGCCTAACTGTAGTTAGACTTTACAGGTGGATTTCAAACACTCTTATGACTAAACATTAATGGGGGTATACAAATCCCTACAAAAAGCTCGAGCCATGTGTGATAAGCCCAAGCTATCATATCAGTGATGCACAACATATGATCATAATGCAGAACAGTTGTAAATATAATAAAATAAGATTAAAAAAAAAAGATTTTTAAGGGGGGTGGTAGTGTCAGAACGCTGCATGTCAGAAGCTTAATTTCTGATGAATTAAATATAATAATATAACAGAGAATGGCATACAAAGTATTACAGTAAACATAGTTATGTCCATTTAGACTACTTTTGGCAACACTATTTTGCAAGTGTCAGATGAGAATTATCTGTGTGCACCTTGCAATTTGGAGTGAAACAGATCACATCCTACTGAAAAACAGAGAGATCTGTTGGTTTAAGAGATGTTGTTATCCACATGTTCATGGCTTTTAGCTGTCGTGAGCTTTTCATTATAGAGCACTGATGTATTTGCATGTAAAGTAAATAGGATCCCTTATGCCTAACATGATTAATGATGCAGGCAATAGAGAGAAGCAGTGGGATGAAAGTGTATTAAGAACCAATGAGTGGCAGCTGACACCTGCGGTCTGCAACTAATTTCAGGGATTTTGCTTATTTTCACTTTCACATTAATTTCTGGGTGTTGTTGTGTGTACATGTGAGTAAAGGGAGCCTGTGTCTGAAGTGATATGAAGGCACATGGAGAACACCTCAGCATGATCTCTTCAGGTTTAATTAATGAGGAGGGAAATCTTAGCACATTTTGCTTCCTGTAAACCAAAACAGAATGCATCTATTTCCAATCACACAAACTTCTGTTTATTAATTCACAAAGGCCTGTGCTGCAGTCGGTGACTGCTGGTTTCCATCCATGTACTGCTGTGAGGAATATGAATAAAGATGACTATGATTAGTGAGACTCTGGTAATTACAGAGAAGAGAGGAACCGCACCTTGCACAAGAGGAATTATTCTTAGAAAAGGTGAAAGGTTGTCACTCACTTCTTTAAACCGATAGTTTGTCTCTATTTAAACTGCTGATCTTGTTTGCATTTTGTCAATTTGATGTAAATTTTTAGTTTTGTTTTAATTAAATTCCTTGGGACGGGACATTTTGTACACAATATAACATGCATCCTTAAAAATCATACTAAATAATATTATTGATAGTTTTTGCCTGCTGCCCCCCTTAAACATTAATAAAGTATAAAACATTTTAACCAAATATTTGTCCTCAAGCACACTTCTGCAGTTAAACATTTATTAAATAAAAGATTTCAACATAAAGAAGAATATACTGTATGTATATATATACCGTACACACACACATATACACATATATATATAT